CATGGAAACAAACATGACAAATCCTGCTCAAGCGGTACAAATCAATATTCGTCAATGGAAAAATTTAACATGTGATGACGCTGAGGGCTGCATTATAGAAGTTTTATTAAAAAATCCGTTCTCTCGTTTTTCCCACTTATAAAAAAAGTCGACCGTCCGATGCCTGATTTATCTTCCAAATTAACATGTGAAATAAAAGTAAAGCAAAAAACCTCAGTGAGACATTTCCAAAAATCCTACTACGACAATCATAAATGGCTTTGTGCGTGTGTTACCATGAACAAAATGTTTTGCTGGCCTTGCTTACTTTTTAGCAATGATAAAACTGTATGGCGCACTACTGGGTACAACAATTTAAACAACTTTTTCAATGCAGCTGCTAAACATGAAAAAAGTCAAACGCATATTTTTTCAAATGTAGTTTTCAAAATGTTTGACCGGTCTACAAGAATCGATGTTGCGCTGGATGAACAAAGGAAACTGAATATATTGGAACACAACAAAAAAGTTCAAAATAACAGAGAAGTTATGAAAAGATTGATCGACGTTGTATGTTATTTAGCGATGCAAGAATTGGCATTTAGAGGCCATGATGAACGAAAAGCTAGCACCAATAGAGGGAACTATATAGAACTTTTAAATTTATTAGCAGAGTACGACGAAAAGTTGGCGTCTCATTTAAAAGATGCTTCGGTATTTTCTGGTACTTCAAATCACATTCAGAACGATTTGATCGAATCGATTTCTGTGGTGGTTTTAGATTCAATTAAGAAGGAAATATCAGATAGTTTGTTTGTATCAATTCTTATTGACGAAACTTCTGATGTTTCAAATCATTCACAGTTGTCAACTGTAATACGATATGTATCGAAGTCTGGTGTTTTAAACGAGAGATTTTTGGGATTTACTGATGTCAGTGGCGATAGATCTGCAAATTCCATAGCTGCACATGTTATTGCAGTTATCGAAAATTTATCGTGTGAAAAAAAAATTGTTGCACAAACATATGACGGTGCTGCAGTCATGGCGGGAGAACTTAATGGAGTTCAGGCAAAAGTTAGAGAAAAATACCCAAGAGCATTTTTTATACACTGTTGCGCTCATGTATTGAACTTGGTCCTTGCTCAATCCCTTAACCACATCAAACAGTGTAAAATATTTTTTTCTACAGTTAGTGGAATGGCTTCATTTTTTTCGCATTCGACAAAACGGACAAATGCATTAGAAAATATTGTTAATACAAAATTACCAGGAGTGGCGCCAACCAGATGGAACTACAATTCACGATTGATTAATACAGTGTACAATCACCGACAACATCTTGTAGAATTTTTTATTTTAGTGCAAGAAAATCCCCAAAACTGGGACAAAGATGCAATAGTTTCAAGTACTGGATTCTTAAATTTTCTGAAGGATTTTAAAACAGTATTTCTACTACATATTTTTCATCACATATTTGCCCATACAGATCATCTCTACAATGTTTTGCAAAAGAAGTGCTACGAAATAAAGTACTGCATTAATAAAATAGAAGAAACAAAACTACAAATCTCTAATTTTAGAGGAGAATTTACACAAATATTTGAAAAGGTGGTGGCATTAGTCGGTGAACCAAAAAAGAACCGAAAAACCAAAGAAGAAAATTCATGGTTAGAAAAATTGTTTTATGAAATCATAGATACTATAGTTGGCCAAATAACAACTCGTTTTGAAAAATTAAAATTCTTAGATTTTATTGAGTTATTGAACTCTAAGAAATTTAATGATTTTAAAAAACAGTTTCCTGAATCATTAATTACTTCCCTGGGAGTACATTATTCCGATTTATTTGACTTTGTTAGACTTATAAACGAATAATTAACTGTTTTATATAGTACCTCTGATTTTAAAGATAAAGAATTGCTAGAAATTTTTTCTTACCTGCAAGACAACGAACTTTCGGAAGCAATGCCTAAAGTGTACAAATTATGTTGTTTAATAATTGATCTACCATATAGTACTGCTTCCGTAGAACGTACTTTTTCAACACTTAAGCGAATAAAAACTTATGCGAGAAACACAATGGGTCAAGAACGACTGTCGTCACTGGCAGTTTTATCAATTGAACAAGATTATTTAAAATTTCTGAAAAGCAGTGTCAGTTTTTATGATAAGGTTTTACAAAACTTTTGTAAACAAAACAGACGAATTGAATTAACCTTTAAATAAAACATTGTTTTATCCGTTTTATATATTTTTTTATTATGTCGTTATTTGCAGAATTTAGATATTTAAAAAAAAATATTACAACACATTTACAATTTTATTTTGCTGCTGCCTTATCAGTAAAGTCACGGCACGCCACTGAGACTCACATAATTTCTTCCTCAATTTAAAATTGAGTAAAAGGTAATTTGAATAAAGAAGTTTCAATGCGATTTTTTAATAATGTTAGAAATATGGGTCTTAAAACGAAAATCGTCATCAATCACCAATCCCAAATTTCTTACAGTATGTAAAACTGGTAGTTTTATGTTATCAAATTTAACATTAATATTGTCAAAAAGAACATTTTTAAATTTTCGGGGAGCGAAGCAAATAGCTTTGCATTTATTTATATTCAGTTGGAGGTTAATATCAGATGAAACATTTGCTGTATTTTGTAAGTCATTATTTATATGGTTAGATGCTACATCAACTTCGTTAGGTAGGAAATGATACTGCATTTGGGTGTCATCTGCAAAGGCTCTCTTTTTAGATACTGAAGGTATCTGCAACAATTGGGAAGCATATATAGTAAAAAGAATTGGGCCTAAGACCGAGCCTTGCGGTACGCCTGATGTTATTAAGCCAATTTTAGATTTACCAGACTCGGTTACAACTTGTTGATGTCGATTTTGTAAATATGATTTAAAAAAAGAAACAGAAATTTGATCGAACCCATAATATTCCAGTTTTGTGCAGAGGAGGTGGTGGTTCAAAGCATCAAAAGCTTTTGAATAATCCAAAAGAGTTACAATACTTGCGTGGTTTCTGTCAAGTTCAATCAGGCAATCATCGATAACAGAAGCTAGAGCTGTCGTTGTGCTATATCCCTTGCGAAAACCAGATTGATCTTCTGATAATATCTCTTCTTTTACTATAAAATTAAAAATTTGATTACAGATACATTTTTCTAAGACTTTAGATAATGTTGGAAGAATACTTATTGGTCTTAGGTCTTCTGGATAGTTTACCTCGTCGATTTTGGGAATAGGATGAATTAAAGCCACTTTCCATAATTCTGGAAAGTACCCAGTCTCCAGACAGCAATTAATAATGTGAGTAATTGGCTGAACTATATTAGGACAACATAATTTAATCATGTAAGCAGAGATACCATCAATACCCATAGCATTAGATTTCAAGCTATTTATGATTTGAAACACTTCCTCCTCAGTGGCCAATGAAAATTTAAAGTTACTATTTGGTTTATATTTGATACCTTTTATGTTATTAGCAGCTTCAACACAGTTTTGGGGAGGAGTGAATACTGACAAAAAATATTCATTTATTTCATCAGCACTGAATGTAGATAGATCACATCCTTTAACTTTTTTTTGAATATTTAACTTTTTTAGTACAACCCATAGTCTTTTTTTGTTTAAAGTATTACTTTCATAATCTAAGTACGATTATTAATAAAAATTAAGGGTAAAAAAAATGATTCATTTGTGGAATCCTTTTATTATCTAAACTGTAATTGTCACTCTTTTTTTACAACAGTTTTATCATATGTTCTAAACTAAGAAAAAAGACGCCTAACATTGTTAAAAATAATCTGTCTTAAGAAAACCCTTTTGTGCTTTAAAAAAATGTGTATGTGGTAATTTCGAACGCAAAAGTATTGTCACTACCCAGCAGCGAGGGGTATTAAGCTCCTCCGCCTTCTCTCTGCGAGTTGCCATAATTCCCTAAACACTCAGGGAGAATAAAATGGGCGAAGACTAAAGTTTCCTTACTTGATTTATGTACATAAAATACCTACTTTAGTTGGTACCACAAAGATCACTAAATGAATCAGTGGTATGTTGCAAATACCCATAAATATCTAAATGAGGGAAAGATAGTAGTGTGGGGAGTAAGAAGTTGTGCGATTGACAAGGCGCTATATTGGAGTTGGCGAACCGCAACCCACAATACACCTGTGAAAGCAAGTGGCGTATCTACAATGAAATTGAACAATAACCAAAGATATCAAATGACATCTTTGAAATTATGTACGTGTTTTTTGTTTGACGAAATGTCTTCAAAAGCAGCTGTGAAACAAGCACATCTAGCTAAGTAGGAGGACTCTTTCTCCACCGAAAAACCCTCTCCACTCCCTAATGGTGATTTTATTCCATAAACAAGTATAATATACACACCACATTTAAGTGCCCTAAAAAAACCTGTCGCATATTATACCTTCTACTCCGCCTTCGCAAAACAGCCAACTATTCCCAGACTGCACGAAATACAATACAAGAAATAAATCAATCAACATTGTATTACTCCTCAAAACAAAAAATAAGAAAGTCACAACCTGTGGCCACGACTAGTTGTAAGCAATATCTCGTGTTATGTTGCCATTGATATGAATATAATGTTCTGCCATTTTTATCAAACAAATAAAGCACTCAAAACATAGAAAATCATGATTCATGACATTGAATCGAATAAAAATTAAATTTTATATGTTACTTCAAGTAGTTGAAAATAAAAACAACACCAAAACTATAATTTTAAAATTTTGCTGTCAACGATTTTGACGTATATCGTATATACCTGGCCAGCGATGGTAATATACTTTTTGCATTACTATAAGATAGCTACCGATTCAGTGGTATATCAATGAAGTGAAAAACATGGTAATATTTGTTCGCACTCAAATTTAGGGCTGATTTCCCCCTCATTTTAAACTGGATTTTGCGAGCTTACTGTAAAAGAGGTTCTTTTAATATCACTTAAGCATGGGTATTCTTTTTAATAAAACTCAAACATATAGTTAACTTTTTATTTAATATCTTAACTATAATACAATACAACACATTAAACCTTGTCATTCTGCTCAAACTAAAAAGTTTGACTCTCCTGTCCTTAAACTCCCGCATTCGAGCTGATCCAGCTTCTGTAGGCAGCGGTCCTAGTGTAAGCTGATGGGTACCCTTTAGCGCACCCAGCAGAGCTACCAAAACTGACGATACCCACATGGACAGCGTTACTGCCAGAGCCGGTGACCAATGGGCCGCCGCTATCACCCTACCAACAAAAACACATAAAATCCCAACCACAACAAGCGTTGTCAAACTCACATTGCAGGTACTTTGGATGGTGCTTCCTGTGCAGCAAACAATTCCAGATTGAATGATACTACCGTAAGTTTGAGCGCAGACGGTGTTCGAGATGGTGGTCAATCCGACGTAGTTGAGGGTTTGACTGATGGACGATGAACCTTGAAGAAACCGATAGTACGACAAAGTTAAAGCTAAAGTACCGAGGACTTACTGTCGCTGGTTCTTCCCCAACCGCTTACGGTGACAGCAACTCCGGTTCCAAGGGTACTGGTGCCCAGAGAGACGGTCGAGATGTACGAAGACGAAGAAACGGACGAGGAGAGTTGCAGGAGAGCGATGTCGTTAGCCAAAGTGGACGAAGAGTAGCTGGGATGTACCACGGCTCTGCTGGCTTGGGCGGTAACACGGGAGCTGTCGCTCAAAGAGGTCACACCCAAATAGGCGGTGACTGCACTAACTCTGTAACACAATTGTAAGAGGAGGTGCTATGTAATAGCAACGCCAACCAACCCTTGGACGCAATGGGCTGCCGTCAGAATCCAAGTGGAGCTGATCAAAGCACCACCGCAGAAGGAGGTACCACCGGATGAAAGGGTCAAGTAAAGGGCGGCTTGCCATGGGAACTGTCCTCTGGAAGCAGGGGATCCGCTAATGATACGTCCGTTGCTGATCTCTCTGAATGGAAGGTACTTGGAAGTGGAAGCGGCTGGCACGGCCTGAGAAAAAGTGTTAAGTGCAAATGGAACGAAAAATCGAGGTACTTACTCCTGGAAGTAGAGGGAGCTCGGCTGGCAAAGCCAGAGCGGTTGCGGTCACACAAAGGATGAGAAGAGCAAAACGAAGCATGTTGTTTGGTGGTTCTAGTCGAAGTGACGCTTGGAGCAAAACGAGCTCTTTTATATTCGTTTTGGAGACGATTTTATCAATATGAGGTGAGAATTGTTCTGTGACAGGTTAAGTGTGTAATATGTTAGGAGATTAATGTGCAATCAAAGGGATCTTTATGGGTTATGATAGGGGGTTAGATTATGAGCTAGATTTCCGGAATAATGTTTGGGAGATTGATTTGTAAATGTCTGAAAACTGGTTTTGAAGGAATAGATAAATATAATGCTTTATTATTCTTATAAAAGACAGCAAGGTTTTAGTTTGTTTTTGAAGCGTTGGCGTTGGTTGAATAATTTTGCTGACTTTAATTTTTTATTTTTTGCAAGCCTTGCATGACATTTTTTGTTACTACAGAACTGATTGTCAAATTTTATATGTATTTTGGGAATATCGTGTAGATTTTAATAATATAACGCTAATCAAAATGTTTTTGGTCCTCTCAAAATTTTGCATAGTAAATGTTACTCCTATTTAAAAAGATACATTCTGAAGAAATAAACTCATACGAAGCCTATGGGTTTTCTAGTATGGGGCTGTTTAAATGGGAACCACCGTTGGGAGCAGTCAGTGTAGTCCAGACAATGGGAGAAGTAGAGTCTAGTCAAATCCATTTCAGTCCAGCTGTGTAAATAGTCGTGTAAATTTGAGTTACTTAGAAATAAATTGTTGAATTTTACCCACGTTTTTATCTTTACTTTAACTCTACATAAATAAAATAACGATTATTAGTTATTTTGGCTTATAGGGCTTATCAGAAAAAGAAATAAATACAATTTTACAATATGTAATATAACATATAAATTATAATTACTTCAGGGAAAAGGAAACTTGTGTCTAATACTTTCTAGACCAATCTATTAAATCCACATTACTCGTAAAGATAACACAGATAAAATGACGAGACATATTCCAAATAATACCAGTAATTGACACTTATATTAAAATGGGTACTTAAGAGTTATTTCCATTGATTCTCCGTCGATTAAAATATCAGTGTGCAGTAAGTTACACGAATTAAATTTGCGGTTTTTTTCTAGTTTTATCATTTTTATGATTGATATGTCTGTAGTAACTGCGAAACATTTTAAGACTCATTTTTCGGAATAATTTAGTAATGCGATTGAACCAGTTCAGATAATTGTTTCCTTTTTCTTTTTGAATGTTATCTATAAAAATGAGATTTTGCACAGATTTTCACGACTTTAAACAAAAACACTGAAACTCTCTAAAGCCAACTTTTTTCAGATTTACCCAGCCTAATTTAATGCTGGTTCAACTTTGTATGTAAAATCCGTTAATCAGATTAATCGCAGTTGCAATTTTCGTTTCAAAAGCGACTCAGTTTTTTAAGTAATAAATTGCTTAGAAACAATAGGACGACTGATTAATTTACTATAAAAATAAAAAACAACCTTGAAAAGTTCATTCTCAAAACAAATCAATGTACTGATTGTGTCAATACTTTTACTGTTTTAATCCTCCATTTATTTTATTCATTTATTTAATCATAAATCTTCCTCAGAATCTAATCACAATGTAGTAGAGCTCGTCGCACAATAAAATAATTTTTTTAATTTCCCGCCATTCTTTAGCTCCGCCCACGCATCTCGCGGTTCTTGCACAAGTGGTGTCACAGCCCATTCTGATAATGTATGCTAATTTATACCGCGCGAAACAAAACCATGCTTACTTTATGAGTTGTATGACAATATTTACCTAATGTTTAAAGATTCTCTGCATTGCCATCAAACTTTTACGAGTATTTAAACGTCTTAACGTTTTTCACAAGATGTCGACAATTATATATAGTGATTAAGTTTTGAGGAAGATTTATGATTAAATAAATAAAATAACTGGAGGATTAAAACAGTAAAAGTATAGACACAATCGATACACGTGATTTGCTTTTCAAGGTTATTTCTTGTTTCTAAGTAATTTATTCTTTAATAACTAAGTCATTTTCGCAAGGAATTAAATTTGATTGAATAATCCGGAAAAAAATTGGCTTTAGGTAGGTCACGCATTTTTCGTTTAGCGTCATAAAAATCTATAGAAAAAGTCATTGTCCTAATAGTTATTTGTATATCAAAGCGTTAAAGAAGAACTTTTTCGGTCGATCAAGTTTGAGACCGAGGCGTAGCTAATGCCTACAAATCACAATATTTTAAGGCGACCATACAGAAAAATGGTTGGATATGTAAGTGGTTTTGAGGTTACAAAATAGGTTTTCACTGTTCGACGAAAAGCCCAGGAGCTTTGACAAAAAAAACAAAGCCCTACTTTGCTCTTCTACTAAGAAAATATTGGTACCGACATGTTTCATAAAGGCATTCAGTAAAGGTGAAGTTCAGATCAAGGCGCTTTTGGTTTTTATTTAAAACACTATTGGAAAAAAACACAAGACCAAGGACGCAAAACACATTTTTTTAAAGAAATTCCTTATTTTAGAAAATATAAATAACATTCATAATGCAAAATTATGAGTTTGAAGTGACCTCATTTTGAAACATCCAGAAAACATTAAATTAGTTATTTACCAGACGCACCCTATATAACAACGCAAGATTTAAACAGATAAAGAAAAAATACCACGAACGACTTGCAAAAAATCAAAAATCTGGATTCAGTAAATTCACCCAATTAAACAGCATTAAAAACCAACGCTTCAAAACTACTTAATTAAAACTGTGGTATTTATTATCAGAATAATAAAGCAGCACATATGTCTAATCATTCAGAACCAATTTTGAGACATTTACGACTCTCTATCCAAAACCCGATCCGAAAATCTAGCTCTTAATCTAACCTCCCTATCAAACATATAAATCCCTTCTGATTACACTTTAATTTCTTAACATACTACATACTTAAACTGTCATTGAAGAATTCTCAACTCATATTATCACCGGTGAATTGCCTAACGATTGGAGAACAGCAACTGTCAAACCGATTTTCAAAAAAGGGGACCAACTTGATGCTGGAAATTTTCGCCCTATCAGCCTAACATCTCTGATTAGTAAATTGATGGAATCCATTATATGTCATACTATGATGAAGTTCCTTCTTGAACACAAGATTATTCCGGCCGAGCAACACGGATTTGTGCCCAAACGATCGGTAATTACAAATCTTCTCAGTTGCCTCAACAACTGGTCCAGAGAACTTGACAACGATAATCCTATCGATGTAATTTATTTTGACTACATCAAAGCATTTGATAAAGTCCCGACGCGTCGCTTGTTGCACAAACTTGAACATTTTGGAATTAGAGGTGGATTACTTAAGTGGATAGAAGGTTTTTTATCGTTTCGAACATTTAGAGTTAAAATTGATGGATGCCTTAGTAATTCACAAAAGGTCCTAAGTGGGGTTCCACAAGGAGCAGTTTTAGGCCCCATACTATTCATAGTGTATATCGCCGATCTTACCGTAGAACTTTCCAGTCCTTTCGCTCTGTTCGCTGACGACTTGAAATTGTACAATACCTCGAAGAATGATAATGTTTTAAAGGCGGATTTAATAACACTTTATGCGTGGACGCAAAAATGGCTTATGCCCTTCAATATGAAAAAATGTTGTGTACTTCATCTAGGCAGGAACAATCCCAAAATGCAATATAATCTTGGTGGCCACGTTTTGCAGTGTGTATCGTCGCAGATTGACTTGGGCGTCACCATTACAGAAGATTTGTCCTGGTCTTATCACATCTTATCTGTTGTCAAAAAAGCCAACTCCATTGGGTATTTTAATTTTTAAAGATGTGATGCAAAATTTTTACTAAAATAAAAAAAAAACTAAGTCAAAATCAAATGTGGCAAATCAGCCTCGAGTGAAGTTAACAAATCACACCTATCTTTATTTTATTTTATAGATAAGTTATCTTAAAAATAATACCCAAAATCTAATTCTATATTATTTCAAACAAACTGAATTTGTTTGATTATATTTCAGGATCGAAGGAAAGTCTATCTAAATAACTATATAACTAGGTATTTTCAATCGTTGTATTTTGTGTTGTATAAGTTGAGAAGTGTTTGATATTGATACTTTTTTTCATCATTTGTAAAAGGGACACATAAAATCACATCATTTACATGCACAGGATATCAAATGGTATAAATGTAAAATGTGTCCCTACAATTGTAAATGGAACTCTGACCTAAAGAGGTACATCAACAATCATCATTAGAATGGCGATGGAATTTAAATGTGTTGTCACAGCATAGATAACAATTGTTATCTATGCTGTGGTGTTGTTTCTAGTCGCCGTCAAATGCGGTGAATGCATACGTGTATTGTTGGTTGTATACCTCAGCATCGACTATTATTTTATTTATTAGAAGACTTAAATTCAATCAGCATGAGTCACCAAAACTTTAAACTGAGATAATGAAATATTTTCCAAATAGTCTGTAAAAGAATAACTAATAATACAAGAATTAACAAACTGAATATTTATTGTTCTACTAATATAAAATAATTTATTAGGAAAAAAAGAATACAAAATCTTTGCCCACTTTAATTAAGTTAAGATTCTTATTGGGTATCAAAATAACAAATTTAACGGACTTGGACTTGGTACTGTTGTCCACTTACAATTTGTCCCGATTCATCAGTGGACGCAAAAAGCTACGTAAACATTTTTTCATGGCCTGCACTTTTTTACCTACTGATAGTATCTTCGTTGGTCTATATAAATAGATTGGTAAAAAAGTCATGATTTACTTACTCATTATTTGCTTTATTAATGGAAAGAACTTAGAATCATAAAATTTTACATTCAAAGTACATTAATAAATATTAAAAAATATATATATATACAATTAAAAAATTTACAATAAAATAAAAAACAACTGTTACAAACAAAATATAAAATCAATCTCTCAATTTCAAAAATCATTCAGAAAATTAAGAAAAGCTGAAACCTTCCAACATGATGCTTTTGGACTTCAGATGGGAGTACCAGATCGATTCAAAGACTTCCATTT